AATCATCAATATTATTTCCTTAAATAATTATTAGCAAAATTTAATATATTTGATGCGATTAGGTGATTTGCACCGTATACGTCAAAATTCAGGTAAAAATTATGCCGCAATAATTTCTACAGCATGAATAATACACACGTGTTTGCTAATTTAACGTATTATACTCCACACTACTTTACTAAATCATGCTTTACTACTATTCGTATTACTCGTTATACTCCACTACTTTACTAAATCATACACTACTACTATTCGTATTACTCTTTTTTTTTAATAACAGTATGTACCAACTTATACTACCGTACTATACTGATTTACTATACCCAAAAAATCGTAATGAAGGGAAGTACATACGTAACTCTATTTCTATATTATTTTACCCTAATTAAGTGCTCAAAAATCTGATAAGTTGTTTTAAGATTAAGTTATATAAACAATATGATCATTGCATTTAAAAGGAAATCAATGATCTGATAACGTTTTATCAGATTTTGTATGATTAGATGATTGCCAACACAATTAATTTTGGGTTAGAACGTTAAGTGACTTTTAAAAAGATTGCATGTTTTATGTGAATGGATAATACCAAAATTTTGAAAGAATTTTTTTGTTTATTAGAATATAAAAGTAGTTTATAGATTCAAACATAGACAAAATTTCAAGATAGAGTTAATTTTGCATAGATTGGCTAAAAATGTGATTTCCCAATCAAGCGATGCGCGTATATTATCGCCAAGTCTTTTATCGAATTTCAATGATTTTCATAACCAGTCGGATCAAACTTTGCAATTAATGGAATTTTTTTTTTTTTATAAAATAATAATACGACAGGTGAAACCTGAAATAGTGAAATCCGCTATGATCATCACATGAAGGTGAAATCTGCCTTTATATAATAAAAAACATTAATAAAACGCGGATTTGATTTGCAAAGCGAATTTCATTATTTCGCATTCAGTGTTCTATAATAATATATTATTAATTCCAAATGAAAAAAAAAACCCCCGAAAATATCAAAATTCTGCGAGTCAAATGCTATATAAAAATCTTATTGTCACGGTTACCCGTGAATATCACATGAATGCATTTTTTCGATAGAGAAAGTAAATCTTATTTTAGTAAAACATACAATTTGTTTCCGAACTAATAAAATTTCCGAGAAATCAGATAGAGTTTTCTTTTCAATTTTTATTCTCACGTCATTTTCCTCCCACGACTTTCCTCAATTTCGTTTTTTATTATTTACGTTTTCTAAGTTTACATTTAAATTATTAAAATATGGTTTATCTATTTGACATCCCTGCTTACTTTATTCTCTTGCGTGAAATGCTTGAAATTACGATCATTCTTGCTGTGCTCCTAGGACTTATTGACAAATTTTTGCCTGATGATAAAGATATCGCCTTAAGAAAGCTACTTAAAAAACAAATATGGATCGGATCATTAAGCGGATTACTTGTGTCATTGCTCATTGGTGGTGCCTTTATTATTGTTTTTTATATTGTTGCTAAAAATTTATGGGAAGAAAGCGAAGCTGCATGGGGTAAATTCTTTTCTTACTTTTCATCTTATTCATATTTATCTAATCGCATAACTTATTTTTAAATATAGAGGGCGCCTTTTCTCTTATTGCTTCCGTCGTTATAACCATAATGGCATTAACCATGATTCGCGTTCAGCATTGGAAAGCAAAATGGGAAAACAAACTCCAAAATGTGACCGAAACATACCTCGAACGACATAATAAAGGGAACAAGTGGGCTTTAATATTACTGCCTTTCACTGTCATTTTACGTGAAGCATTAGAAACAATCGTATTTATTGCTGGGGTATCTATCTTATCTATTACATTTGTTAATTGTTATTAGCATTTATTTATGCTTCTATCATAGGTTGGTTACAATCGAGATGCCACTGGCCTTCCTATCCCTGTCATTACAGGCATTGCTACTGGCTTTGTCATAGGATGGCTTATATATAGAGGCTCTCATACTTTTTCTCTTACCATATTTTTCGTTACCACAACAGTCAAAATATTACTTTTACGGAGATATCTATAATGTTGGAATATATTAAAATAAATGATAATTAATTATGAATATACTATAGTATTAAACGAATCAAGAAATTTGAATATTTACGAACATAATATCAGATATTATGTGTTTGGTATTCTTTTCTGGTTCCTGAGTTTGGATAAGTTTACCAGTTTGAATATCCCATATTCTAATGATTCCTGTAATATAATGGGTATATTAACATGAATTATAAATATTCATATTTTAATTTAAACTAAAAGATGATAACAATGACAATTGACAAACCCTTATCACCACCAGTATAAAATAACTCTCCCTCAAAATCTTCATCCATATTATTTATTGTTGTATGGGGCTGCAAAACCCCTAATGTTTCTATTGTCTAAATTAAATTAACATTATATTACTTTCTTGAATTACATAATATATTGGAAAATAATCAAGAAATATACCTCAAAGATTGGAAATGTTTTCAATAATGTCTTTTTATCAAAATCCCATATATTTACAACCTTGTCTCTAGAACCACTAATAAGGAACCGTCCATCATTTGACATATCTAGTCCACGAATAATACTAACGTGACTCTTTAACACAGCAACACACCTAGAATGTTTTTATCAGAATTAAGCACTTACAACCAATTCAACCAATTGTACCAATTGTCATAATTTAACCTACTTTCGATCCTGTAAGTCCCATACACGTATATTACAATCATCTGCTCCAGAAATCAAAGTCCATTGATTATTTTTTAAATGAAATTTGAGTGCACTAATTATACCTCCATGTCCTCGAAAGTTGTGTGTGCAAAAACCACCTTCAATATCCCAAACTTTAACAGTACTATCAGCAGATCCTGTAGCGACTAAAGAAGAAGTAGGATCTATATCCATTATTATTATTGGAGCCTCATGAGCCTGATGGTTTAATTGAAAAAAAAAAAGTAAATAAATATTTTTATTTGCAAAGAAGCAATTCAAAAATAAAATATTTTACCTTAAAAGATTTTTTTATCTGTCCTGTTTTAAAATCCCATATTTTTACAACTAAACTTCGACTTGAAGTTACAATGTAATTACCATCAGGTGTTATCGCAAAGGTAGTAATTAGTTCAGTATCCTATAATAAACTAAAAAATTACTACACAAAATTTTTTGATTTAAATCAATTCTGCAAAAAATAATTCCCAATCATACACCACTCAAATGGAGCACTTTATTTCCATTTTGAAGATCAGTTACTTCGATACTATCGCCAATAGTTGTTATCAAAAGATTTTCATCTGGTGATATAGCTACTTTCCCGCCTGTATAAAGAGGTCTGATAGTTTGTGTCGGCTTAAAACTTCAAATTTTATTATATAAAAAGTTAGCAAGTCGGATTAAACATAAATTCAACATTGCCAACTATACTTTTACCTGCTTTTAAGTTGATGTTTGCCTATCGCTTCTGGCATCGTATTTGGAATTACTGTTAGATTTTAAAATTTCTTAATTATAGGCATGAGATACGGTAGCGTTACACTAGTACTCTGATGACCAATCAGATTCGACAGACACCGGATCTAAGATCGGCCCAGTTTATTTCCGATGAACCTACTATTACAGCTGTTCTCATAAATTATGGGACAAATTGAAATTTGCTCGTTTCCCGAAATCTCTTCGGTTTCGTCCTAT